ACTCAAGCAGGGCCTCGAAATTGCCTTGTGAAGAGGCTTCAAGACTGCACCCAAGTTAGAATCACTTTCTGTCCCTCTCTAGCCCACGGCGTCTCAGCCTCAGTGACTTTCCGGACTTCAACTCCCAACATGCTAGATGGGAATTCTGGGAGTTGAAGTCCACGCATTTTACAGTCGCTAAGTCGAGAAGCGCTGAGCCACAACATTTCTATGTGGATTGTGCCACTTTTCTTTGTTTCCTACAGCAGGGATCCACAACACGCCGTCTGCAGCTCGGTATTCAGCTGCGGCCCGTTCAGAATTGGGCCACTCAAATTTGTGCACGGAGCTTCATTTGCGGGAGTGGCAGGCGGGCTTCCCTGTCACTTGTATAAATGTAGCTGTATGTCAATCACGTTCCCCCGCTGTTGTGCAGAATTGGCCCCTCTTCCCCCCCCCCCGCCATGGCCGCTGACGCTGTTGCCGGCCTGCAAAGCCAGAAAGGCTGGCAACCTTTGTTCTATAGGAGTCATCAAACTTGGCGACTTGAAGATGTTGCAAAATGGAGCAAAACTCCACATATGAAGGTTCCCGCATAGAAAATTGGGGTTCAGTTTTGGTTGTGATGTGAGGACAGTCTGGAGTGGTCTGCCTAAAAGGCAGCAGAAGCCCCACCTCCTTTGGTCATAGGCCCCTCCCAACACCATACCTGGCTAACAGCCCTCTTCTCTCACCTGGAAGGGCGGGCTGTGGATGGCCGCACAAGCCGTCTCGGCGTATTGCCGCCGTTGGGCGTACGTGCTGCAGGAGTCGAAGAGGGTGTCGGCGGTGGGGGGACAGGCATGGGGGAGTTGGAACTTGTGGGCGAAAGCAGCCACGCCAGGCTCCACGTCGCCCTCTGAGGTGGTGAACTCGTCCTGCTGGTTCCAGTTGTAGGTCCCGCAAAGGCCTCGGACCTGGAGGAAAGAGTCGGCCCAGGTGCCAATTCTGCATCAGGCACCCGGAGGCCTCCTATGAAGCCTGATGGAGCTGAGGATTGGTTCTCGTCCAGTAGTGGCTGAGGGTTCAGTTCTTATGGTACGATATCATTTATTGCACGTGGCAAGTGAACAGGGAGAGAGGGAGGAAAGAAGGAAGGAAGGGAATGAGAGAACAAGGGAACGAGGAAAGAAGAAGAAAGGAAGGAATGAAAAGGGAAGGAAGGAAGAAAAAAGGAAGAAAAGGAAACAGAGGGATGGAGGAAAGAAGGGAGGGAGGGAACAAGAAAGGAAGAAGGAAGGAGGAAAATAAAGAGGGAAGGGAAGAGGGAAGGGAAGAAAAAAGGGAAAGGAAGTAAGGAAGGAGAAAGGGAGGAAGGAAAACAAAGAAGGAAGGGAAGGAGGGAGGAAGGAAAATAAAGAAAGTAGGAAAAAGGGAAAGGAGAAAGGAGAAAGAAAGAAAGAAAGAAAGAAAGAAAGGAGGGAGGGAGGGAGGAAAATGAAGAAAGAAGGAAAGGATGGAGGGAGAAGAAATTGGAAAAGAAGGAAGGAAGGAGCAAGGAAGGAAGAAAAGAGAAATAGAGAGAATAAAGGGAAGGGAAGGGAAGGAGGGAGAGGGGGAGGACTCCAGAAAGGGAAGGATGCCACTATGCAGATCACGGCGCCAGGAGGAAGGAGGCACCTGCCTCACACCTTGTTGTGCCCAACCCCACTCTGGTTTTAAATCAATTCCTCCCCACACCTGGCCACCTCATCCCCAGGAGGCATGGCTGGCAGAAGCCCTCCCAAGACTCACCTTGTGGGCGAAAGTGGGCTGCAGAGTGACATAGGCGGCGGGGAACTCCAGGCCCCAGAGCAAGTGAGCCCCAAAGGTCTGGAGGAGCAGGAAGGCAGAGGAGGCGCGGCGAATAGTCAGGTCGGCGTTGCCAAATGGGAGGGTGATGTCCTGGCCATTCACTGAGACGGCCCCTGGTGAAGGGGGGAACAGAGAGGGACAGAGCAAAAGTGACCAGGTGGCCAGCAGGGAATGAGCCCACGGAGGAGGAGGAGGAGGAGGAGGAGGAGGTGGTGGTGGTCTGTAAGGATTTTGGTGCTCTCTAAGCTTGGTGATTTTCTTGTAGACATTTCACAACCTAGCTAGGTAACATCATCAGTGCTAGAAGGAGGGTGGATTGGTCTCTGTTTTCATACAATTGCTCACCCTGGCACTATTGGTGGGAGTGTGGGGTTTTCCCACCCTTGGTTAGATTATAGTACTGTTTTCTCCTTGATCGTTTTTCTGGTGTTAATCCCTGCTTATCTCTTTCTGTGGGATCCTTGGTGCTTTCTGAGCTTGGCTATTTTCTTAGAGACATTTCATGACCCAACTAGGGAACATCATCAGGGGTAGAAGGCAGGGCGGTGTGTGGAGAGGAGGAAGACAGTGGGTGGTCTCTGTTACCCACCAAGGGTAGTCAGGAAGACTCTCAATCTCACCTGTGAAGGAAAGCCGGACCGAGGTCTTCTGAACAGTGACGGTCACAGCCCGTAGACAGCTGACAGCTCCCTGGTTCCCGCATGGCTCGTTCTCTGCCTGGATCTGAATTTTCCCATCTACAAAATCCTGCGGGAACATAGATTGTCTTCAACTTATGGTTGGTCACTAAGCGAGTCTCCAAAGCAACCCGCCAAAATGTACTTACGACCCAGATTCAAAGTATTGATGGCTGCCCACCCCAACTCTGTGATCACATGATCACTTTGGGGGCATTTACAACCACCGTGGTCACATGAACAGAATTTAGTTTTGGGTTTTTTTTGCCAGAAATTGATGTGGACAACAGGTACACTTAATGACCACTGTGTTTGCTTAATGACTGCAGCACTCGCTTTAGGACTGCAGCATTCACTTAGTGACCATCACAAAAAAATTAAAAATCAAGTTTGATCATGTGGATGCCTCGCCTTACAACCTTTGGGACATACAGCAGTCCCCGACATACAACAATTTGCTTAGTGACCATCCGAAACAAGGCGCCAAAAATGGAACCCACGTCGGTTGTTCACACTTACGACTGTTGTAGCATTCTCGTGGTCACGTGATCAAAATGCGGACATTTGGCAACCGACTCACACTTATGACGGTCACAATCCCCCTTTCGGGACCATCTGATGAGCAAAATCAATGGGGGACAAAGCCCCCTCCCCACCTGTCCCTCACCTGCACGAGGATATAGTGGCAGACCCCACGGAAGGAGTAACGCTTCCCGTCAAAGGTCAGGTAATGAAGACGTCCGTGGAGGATGCACTCCCCGGCGCACCGATCCTGCGAGCAGACCCACTGACCCCCTCGGCACGTGCTGTGGGAGCAAGCGACAGGTCAGTCTGAGTCGGGAGGGGTGTTTGGGGCGAGACCCCTGCCTTTCCCCCAAGCCAAGCCAGGTGCTGACGTTTACATTGGCAGAAATTCAAATGTTCAGACTGAGGGAAGGGAAGGAACATGGGTAAAATTCATCCATAATTCAAATGAGGCTCAGATTTGACTGCAATGAGGTGTTGCCAAAATGGTGCTCCTAATAAATGACTGGTTTTCTTTTGAAACTTGGCTTGAGCCTCATGAATCCATTAGGGCATCTTTCAGAACCCTGATACCCGTAACCTAGCTAGGAAACATCATCAGAACAGAGGGGGGGTTTGCAGGGAGGAGGAGGAAGACTGTGGGGTCCTTGATGAACCTTGAGTTGAGTGGTTTCCTTCCAGACATTTAATGGCCCATCTAGGTAACATCATCAATGCTGGATGATTTGCAACTCAATTCCTTCCAGCACTAATGATGTTCCCGAGTTGGGTCAATATCTGCAAGAAACTAAGCTCAGAGAGCACCAAGGACCCCACAGCCGTCCTCCTCCTCCCTCTTTCCCCTTCCTCCCCCTCCCTCCCTCTCTCCCTCCTCCTCCTTCTAGTACTGATGACGTTCCCTAACTGGGTTATGAAATGTCTGCCAGAAATCCACCAAAATCAGAAGTGTCCCGAGGACCCTACATTCCGTGGCTTCACCCATGCCAACTTGGGGTTGGCTGCCCACCAAGAGGGCACCCACGACAGCGCCATCAAGCTGGGCCTGTTTCCCACGTGCATGTCTGGAGTTCTTGCGTCTCACCTCTCCCACTTTGGAGCACAAGGCATGTNTGGGTAAAATGAGGACCTGGATTGTTGGGGGCAATATGCTGACTCTGTAAACCGCTTAGAGAGGGCTGAAAGCCCTATGAAGCGGTATATAAGTCTAACTGTTATTGCTATTGCTATTACTACTGGTTCGCTGGTGCGCAGGCACAACATTTCTGTGCATGCACAGAAGCATCTGGGCAGGTGGGCGGAGCCTCATGCTACCACCACTACCAGTTCGGCCGATCCGGGCCGAACCGAGCCGAACCGGGAGCAACCCACCTCTGGGTCACACACGGGGGGTCGTGTAGCATCCCTGAGATCACGTGATCGAAATTCAGATACCTGGCAACCAATGCATATTTATGAGGGTTGCAAGGTCCTGAAGTCACATGATTCCCCCTGTTGCATGCTTCCAACCAGCAAGTTCACGATGACGCCAGAAGCACTTCACCACCATGTGGCAAATTTAACCACTGCGGTGATTCACTTAACAATGGGGCAAGGAAGGTCATAAAATTGGGGCAGCATTCACTTAATGAATGTCTCACTTAGCAACATAAATCTTGGCCTCCTTTGTGGTTGTATGTCGAGGACTACCTATTGTCAGGGTTCCAAGTAACACACCCACAGCAAACATCGCTCCGAGGCAGGTAGATTCCTCAAAGTTTTATTTGGATATATCATATTGGCACAGGCTGGTGAAAACCGACTCTGTGTATCTCCACGGTTTTCACCTAATTGAAAGTAAAAGTTTTTCCCCTTCCCCAAACAGTCACATGATCCAATCAAGGTGTCATCCGGCTGCCTGGTAGCTTCACTCCTCCTCTCTCTGACCAGCTGTGGAAGTGTCCTGTTCTGACCTAGGCTTCCCAAGAGCAAGAAGCCAATTCCTTGTCCCGAAGAAAATGCCTTTTATTAATTGACTGTGAATTCTGCTCATTCACATCCAGGAAAGTCTTTCAAGGGAGGATTTACAGTCACAGACCTTATCTGGCTTGGAGAGCTGCCAGGCCGAGATCTGGAAAACTTAGTAAGGAGACTCGGAGAGTCACGAACCAATGAAGCGAACTAACGGTCTCCTGCAAACTCCATTCCCCTTTCGCTCCTCTTTTATCTCCTCTGGGAGGGGCCATTCACCGTCTACCTGTGGCCTTACTCCCAAGTTGACCCCTGTTCTTCACCTGTTCTGTCTGGCAACTCTGTGCATGCTCACATTGGGAACAGGTTCCAGCTGTTCTTCTGCCCCAAAGCAGCTTATAACTGCATATAAATCTAATAAACCTAAACCATATACCTATAACTGTCGGAAGGCCTTGGCCCCCTCTCTGCCTCCGACACAGAGCCCTCATCCGAGCCTTCCACAGACTCCAGGACTGGCCCAGGTTCCTCCCCAACCTCCTCACTGTGTGAAACTGCTGCTGGCAGGCCACAACATGTCCTTGATTCCCAGGAGAAAGTATTTTGTTTTGACTTCAAAACTCCAGCTCTCTCGATTCCCTCCTCCAGTGGCAACACTAAAGCCTCAAAATGGCCATGAACAGATCAGCTGCAGGGTTGACACCTATACTTCACAAGACATGATACATTAGGCTGAGCCTCCCCAATCTTTCACTCCCAAGCTATNGTTCACCTATATTCTGCTTTGCTCACAACTTGACAAAGAATGCAGGGGGGGGGGGATTGGAATGCAAGGATGGAGGGGAATGACTTCCAGACATCGTTGGCTCTCCTCAAGGAGTCCCAGAGCAGATGCCACAGCGTGATCGGCTGGTTCTGAAAACAAAGTGAACAGAAGTGATTGGATGACATAATGGATTGTGGGTGGCCCATGGGGAAAAGGGAAATGAACTGTGCATGTATTTGCACGCACAGGTTTTGCTTCTTCCGCACCAATGTGGATTTATTCAGTAAAATTTATACTCTTGGTAAAATAATGTCCCAGCAGTTTTTTCTGAATTTGCCAACTGGACAGTTGATGTTCGACACACAACAGCAAGAAGAGGGTCTGCGGAAACCTCTGGGGGAAAGTGACAGTTGTGTCTGCTGGAGGACGGACACAGCACAGACAACCTGGTTTGACTGGTTCAACTCCTCAACTGGTCCAGTGACAGCCTTCAAGTCCATGATGCATACCAAGCTGATAGCTTGATCAGTCCTGGTAGACCTCATGTGTACTGCAAGCAGTCTGGATGTTGTGGGCAAAGCTAAGTTGCAGGTGTTGTATGTTGAAGGAATGTAATGGTGGCAATCTTGAGATGTTTGGATTTGGATTTTTTAACTTTATTTATATGCCACCCTTTTCCCTGAGGGGACTCAGGGCGGCTCACAATCCAGGGGGAGGGAAAAACAAAACAAGATACACACATAAAGACAATACATCATTAAAAAGCGCAACAGTCATACTATTCGGGTGGGGTTGAAGTCTTTAGCCCCAGGCCTGTCGGGACAGCCAGGTTTTTAAGGCTATGCGGAAGGTCTGGAGGGTGGTTCCTCGGGAGCTGGGGAGACCTCCAGAAGAAACGATTTAGGAGGGCCAAAAGTTTAGCATGTGGGACTCTTATCTGGCTGGACATGAAAAACGGGGCCGCTCGGCCGCACCTCACCTCCATCCCAGAGGACCGTCAACCCCATCTGAGTGAGAAGCACCAGAAAAAGTCCAGCTCTCTCCAAGGTCAGCCCGTTTCCACTGTAGGTCTTGGGTGGCCGCACTGAGACACCATTCACTGTCACGTCCTTTCCTAGCACAAGGATCAGAGGGTCAGAAAGAGCACAAAGCTACTGGGGTCTCCTTATGCCCCCACGCCCATCTTACCACGGAGTAGGTGAACTGTCATGCTGCCCATCAGCACTACCACAGATTTGGTGCAGGTGGTTCCGCTGGTGCCACAGGGTACGTTCTCAGCAGTGACGGTGAAGGCGCCGCTGTTCTCGCGGACCAGGACATACTCGCAGTCCCCCAGGAATGTGTACACCCGCCCGTCAAAGGTGATGTAGTGCGGATCTCCAGTGGCTACACAGGTTGCCGCACAGTGGTGGCGGCTGCATTCCCAGTGCTGCTTTCTGCAAATGCTGGGGAGGGAGAGAGAGGATTGTGAGCCCACAG